GGACGTAGATTGTACGGGAGTCCGTGTCGAGCTCGAGCGTGGCAACGTACGGTGAATTGGGGCCTTGGTGAGACACGATGCGTCTGCGAGGAACTGTCAGCCACTGGGATGTGTAATGAGGGTAGCATACTACTCACGTGTCGCTCCTTGGTATGTCGTCGCGTACAAAGAAGGCCACTTGGCGCAGTCCCATTCGGGTAGCCAGTTGTTTGTAACTCTTGGCCGTGCTCGCTTCACTGAGCTTCAGCGCAGCTGTCTCGTTCGCGCGCTGCGTGGACGGACTGACCGACGAAGGAGTCGGGGCCTTCGCCGTCGCCGCCTTCCTCGCAGCTGCCTTGTCGCGTGCCGTCCCTTGTCTGCGGTCGAGATGTGTCTGCTTAGCCGAAAGGCTATACAAGCTTCGATATTCTTCAACATCGAGGGCCTTGCGAAAGTATTGCTCGCAACGATAACCGGCTATACCGTGGTAGGCGATATGGGGTGGCGGGTCCTGTACGCAGATGACGGCCGGCGTGCGCTTGGGCTTGGTGCTCTCCGGGTCCTGCCTGTGTGCCTTTGCGTTCTGATCTGCCTCGTCGTGGATGTACTCGCGGAGATAAATGAGTCTCTTGAAGGAACACTTCATGTTGACTGAAACGATATCGCTGGAACGGTCCGCCGCGGTGAAGTCTCTACCAGCCGAGTCATGGCGCTTGGGGTCTGGATCGAGTGAAGTGGACGCCCTGCGTTTCCGCGAAGGGCTCGGGTTGACGCTCGGGTTGACGCTCGCATCTATAGTCATGATTAGCACTGCGACCACCACATGATGGGCATGTCTTGCTTACCTTTGGGATCAGTCCCGAAGAACGCGACAGGCGGCGGTGACCGGCGTGAGCGCGTGGAAGCGAAATAGGCACGCAACATATGGGCGTATGTGGGAGTATGTGATAGATCGTGAACATGTGCGGAATCTGTTGGAGTTTGTGCAGGGCGATTCTTGAGCTCGTGGATGCAGTCGTTGATCCAGCGCAAGCGCGCGCGCCGAGTAACACTGCGACGCCCGCCATGCGTCGCATCACTGTGTGGCTGACTGCTGTGCGCGCAAAGCCTTCGTATGACGCCTGGTGGGCTCCAGGGCTGCCACGCTCTAGTGGGATCCCGTGTCCTCGCGTAGGCACGTTGCCGAGGCGCTCGCGTGCGTCTGAGTTCAGCCGCAATACGCTACTGCAGGCGACGTCCCCCGGCTGTCTCGGGCCCATCGCCAGCCTCTTTCATCCCACGTTCTAAGCTCGAGCCAAAAGCAACACTACTGCCAGTACATATTCACAGAAGCAATTCAGAATGTCGCCCATCACGACGCAGTATCACGCACCGCCCCCTACGCTAACGGACCAGCCTTGTATGGACCGAACAGACCATAGGGGGGAGTTATCAGACACCCGAAAGTCATAGTACCCCGGCACAAGTACAGAACAGGAGAAGACTGATACACATAAAGAATACTACCGTTTAGATTGACCTGCATGAGCTCTGAGCCGTGGATGCTGCAGGCGCGACTCGGTTACGAGCACCCATGATCCCGATCGTGAGGCATGAACTCTAGTCGAGCGAGCTAGTCGCGTCTGCGACAGCTGTGATCTTGCAACTCTGGCAGTTGTTGAAAAAGCTCAGGCTGACGTGCACACTGCCCCGTTGGATGCTCGCAACTCCTCGGTCACGTCTGTCATATTCGTCCTCTTTCTCATCAACTCTTACACCCAATCATGAAGTCTTTATCAGATCTCTACCCAAATGTATACAAGCTACTTGCACCTTTCTTGAAGTTCGAAAACGATGTTCAACAGTTCGAAGCCGCCTTGACTGTCGACCATGCCTTGGTCACAGCACAAGCATCCAGCGGTGTGTCGCACCGAGAGCTGTCCAGACTGGACCGCAAGATCGATCAGCTTACCACCACGATGAAGATCTCCAACCAGGCTCCGCCGAAGACCTCTCACCAGCAGTTCTACGAGATCAGCTTTGCTCTTCGCGGTCGGGAGGCACAAGCACACATCAACGCAATGGCGAACCTGTTCCTCGTCAAGACGCTTGAGAAGGCTATGGCTCCTTTCAACCAAGTCAAGGCATGTCGCGTGTTCCCTACGAAGTTAGTCCTCTGTGTCTCCAGTGCCGCGACCGAGATCGCCATCCACGAACAGCAACAACACCTTGGACCAATCCTGGGAATACCCACTCTGGATTGCTTCCTACTGCGACAAACATACGAAGTCCAAATCATCAACTTGAGAGTCCGATATGATGGTCAATTCGCGAATCCCAAGGATTTCATCGACCAGTGGTCCACCAAGAACGGAGTCACTATCGCTGCCGCTCGATGGACATGGAAGAAGCTTATCTGGAGTTTTCACAACCTCGGTGATGCACAGAAGCTCGTCGCCGGAAATGGAGTAACCGTTAGCGGTATTCCAGCACACGCTGTACCTTACGACAAACGCTCGACGCTGAAGTTGTGCCATACATGCGGAAAACCCGGTCATCTCAAGAGACAGTGTCCTGACTATGACGATCCTGTCTGTCTACGATGTGGTCAGAAGGAGAGCACGGTAGAGCACACTGCATGGCGCACTGAGAAGGTCGCATGTAATCAGCCTGAGTGCTGCGTCAATTGCGGGGGACCGCATCCTGCCTGGGGCCCACAATGTCAGGCGCCGAAGGTGAAGCTAGCGTTTCAGGATGCTCAGTTCTACGCTCAGAAGAAGGTCTTCTGGGAGTGTTATCCTCGCGTCGAGGTGGAGCCTGCAACCGTTCCATCACCCACGCCAGCAGAGTCGGTCGCACGTGAACCTCTACCTGTCGTAGAGCACTCCGCATCGCCAGCTGAGGGTGATGTTTCATCTATCCATGACCGTGCGGCTGAGCCAGTTGCATCGTCCGGTTCCGATTACGGGGACGCTGCCTACGACGAGGAGATGTTCGGTCTTGTTGCTGAGTCCGCTGAAGAGTCTTCCATATCGATCACTCACTCTGCCGAGGACGCCATCATGCCGCCAGCTCCTCCGAGCGTTACATCGGAAGATGATCTGGACCTAGCCATACCAAGCTTCACACCAGCTGTGGTGAGGAACCCCTCGACTCAAGCTATTTTAGAACAAGAAAGATACCCAAAGTCAGCGGGTATCTTGGCTGAAGATGCCGCTCAACAAGCCACAGTGCAGGACAGTGTGCCAGCCACCACGACGCCAACGACATGGTCTCTCAGCTCACCACAAAGAGAATCATCAGCACCAGCAGCCCCAACTGCAGTCGCAACCGCAGCCTTCACGGTCCCTTCTCAACCGTATCGCGGGAAGGTTCCTCTACCGGATTGGGAGACCTATCCAACGAGGCCCGTGGGACCGTTCCCGCAGATCAACAAGCCTGACGTCGAAGATCGTCCTCAACCTGAGTGGCGTATCTACGATAGCCGGAACAGAACCCGTGGTGGACCAGTAACTCGTCGTCCGCGTGGTCCTGCCAGCGGTAAGATCAAGCCGCGTGGAGGTGGAAGACATTCGTCGATCCGAGGTTCAGTGTCCACGTACTTTGCGCCGGCTGGAGACAGGAACAGCTAAAGCAAGGAACTGTTATAGATGCCGACGATGTTTTGTGCTGACGAATTCATCTTGAGATCATTCGTGTCGCCATTCGACGCTCACTTTGTCGATAGCCTGCTTTCTCTGCGAGGGTATAGGCTGCATGTCTGCTCTTTCTCTCGCGTGTGTCTACTTCTTTCCTTTTACTATAGTTGGTTCTCTGGAGTTGGAAGTTTGTTTGGTCGCGTTCTAGCTTAGTGGCCAGTGTGAATACAATTATTGCCAGTCGCAATCTTTTCAAAAATGCATTTACATTCATGAACCATGAGCATCACTGCACAAACGTCGTCTTCATCATCGCCTGTTGAACAAGATGTACGCTTACCCAGATAGTTGACTGATGCATTGATGATGTGCACGCCTTTGGTGTAATTCTTGTTCCTACATCCGAGGTGTTGCTCGTGTTGCGCATCACCCGTAGCTGCGCATATGTCCAAATCGCCTGCAAGGTAGATTGATCTTGCTTCAAGTCACCTCCCTTTGTTACCTCCGGTCTCTACAGTGACGTAGCTGGCACTGCATCCGTTCAGTGTTTCCTACTCATGAGAGGCTGAGGTCGCACCAGCGAGCTAACCACATGCGGACTTATCAAGGCGTCACCCCGAAGCACTCCTGGAAGGTGTCAACCACGTCAATACCAGATTACCACAAAAGCTGGGAAATCGCTCTGACCCTGAGAAGCTGCTAGACAGGACCAGCTACCACATCAATATGCCAGCCGCATAATAGCACTAGGAATACGAAGCTGTGCCGTTGTAGTCCTAACAAGCAACCATGACCTTTCTTTTCCTACAATTATACAGAAGCCACCTGCATGGGCCCTTGCAACACTACTGCAACCACCATGGTACGACGTGAAACCGAATGCATGGTCACAATCAAGATCTCACAACCCTGACGGCTTGACTATCCACATTCGACTTTCATGACACGCCGCGGTCTAGGGTCTCTACCAACCTCTCTCGTCCCAATCCGGACATGATTTAGCGACGCGCATTCAGATCACACGGTCTTGGCAGGAAAGGCGCGCGCGCGCAAGATTTTGCTGTTGATCTGGAAACGAAAAGCGCGCGCAGAAAGAGTATGAAAGAGCGGCGGGTCGACATGTATCGATCATCACACAGATCAACATCAGCATCGGTTTCGCACCTCAGTCTCTGAACAGCATTTGTATATCGTTTCTCCACATCGAGCATCTCGACAAGCGTTTACATCTGTCCTCTCTTCTTCCAAGACCAATCAACCTGTTTCCATCGCACAGTGAGTCTCATAAGTGCTTCGGCTTCCTAGGTCCTTACTAACAGCTCCAGAATAGGCATAGCGCTTCTTGTCAACATCTTCATCCTCAGCTTCACTGAGCATTCAGTCGTGCTACGCCATTTTCTCAGCATGTCCGGTTCAGTACAATCCCTCGCTGGTGGGGAGGTCCACGATAGTCTCATGGATGGCCTCCTGGAGCAGTTCAAGCGCATGAGCGACAAACAGATGAGCTTATTCAGATCCCGAATTGACGCAGAACTCCCGGTGGATGACTCCGCTGGGTTTACGAACATCGAGGACATTCCTTGTGAGATTCCAGTCGTGCCGTCCAAGAAGGTATCGGCTGTACCATCGACCGCGGCACCCACTACGATGTTTCAATCCTCCTCGTTCTCCGCACCAGCTGATGGACCGCCGACCAAGAGAGCGAAGCGGACTTTCGATGATTACCAGGGGGTGAAGCACACGCCGAGTATCTTCGGCGGCGATGCCATGCCAGTTACTCAGGAGACGAAGAAGGCTGCCAACCAGTTGCGCCAGCCCTTCGTTCGACCGTCTTCTAAGACTGGCGATGACGACCTGCCAGTGTTGCCTAGTTCCTCCCAGGCCAACTCAGGCGATGAAGCTGCCTCCTCTTCCCAGGCTGGCTCTCAGTGGGGGTCAGACTCGTCGCAGACCGTCCCGTCTTCTCCACCTCCTTCGAGGCTGTCTACACGCAGCAAGCCGTCAGCTGCAGGCACCGCTTCGCAGTCTTCCGCTTCGTCATCTGCATCTGCTGTTGAGCCAGTTCGCGGCCTGCAGGCTTCCAGATATGCTTCGTCACCCGCGCCATCACTTGCATCATCGCCGCCTCCTTCTCCGTCCCCGTCCAACCAGCAGACGTCTTCTACCAGCAGCGCTTTAGGCGCAGCTATAGCTCCGATGGATCTACCTCGGAAGACGTACCAACCTATCACCAGGCCACAATTGCGCTCCAACATGAAGAACTTCAGCTGTGGTGATCACAAGGGAGCCCCATTCTTGGAGATGATGCACCAGCTCTGCGCTACGCGAGACGATTATCTCAGATTTCTGTATCATTACGGTACGATACAACTGGGCCACGAAAGGCAAGATTATGACGCCATGAACATCGTCGCCGACTACGAAGCTGGTTCCGTAGCTAAGGGGGGTGTTGGACTCGGAAGAGACGGCGCTAGGATATTCCCCCCCGAATCGTTTGTCGTCTGCTATGGCAAAGCGCACAGGGGCACGCCAATGCATCTGCTGCCGCCGGATTACATTCGACACCAGAGAACAACACTCCCGACAACCCCGCGTCCATGGTTCAAAGAGGCGTCCGATATCTGGATGGCTCAGAATGAACCCCCTCCTGTGCAGCAGCGGACCCAGTCGTACAGCAACTTCCAACAGTCCATCAGCGATCGCCCCAGGAACAATCGTGGTTGGAACCCAAGGCCTCGCCAAGCGCTGCTCTACCAGCCGAGATACGGTGGGCCGAGCAGCTCAAACCACTCGCTCGGCGCGAATTCCTCTCCTGCGAACAGTCGTGATACCTTTTCCGAGGGCTGGCGCACCGTACACGGTGCAACCGAAGAGCTTACAGACGTGAACCCTGACCGCCGCCAGTTGTTGTTGGAGGCTGGACAGCCCAGGCTACCCAGCGCTTATACCGTAAGCAAAAGGGTGTCAAGCTCAACTCCTGCGACGGCAGAGTGCATGGATCTGACCATGTGAGTGGTATGGTGCGGAACGTCGAGATGCAGGTGGAGACGAGGTCTGTAGACTGCAAGGCTGGCCTGCAATGTCAGGCGGGTTGGTGGCGTCCTTTCTTTCTTTTTCTTGGTGTACTCAGTTATCTCCTTTGTTTCATTTTCCATGCTATCTTTTCCTACGTAGTACATAAATTGATGCTGTTGGCGAATATGCTCCGAAACAGTGTGTGGTGACGTCTAGTGAAGAGGAACTTACCCGTTGATGCGTTCGCAACCGCCCATTCGGGTCTGCTGTCCGCTTCATTGTTTCCAAGACTGCAGGTGTCGACTCCTTGGCACGCTAGCATCGCCGTGCCGCGGCTGCGCTAGGCACCACGCGGCGTCTGCGGCTGAACTCCAGTTCCTCGCAATTGCGGCCAACCCCCCCTTAGCCCCCAGACGACGCTTTCAAGTGGGCATGAGTTAGCGCGGTGAACCCTGACTACAACATGTCTCTAGCTATATCTATCAGGCACTCCATCATGGACACGATACACCGACCACACCGAATCGTCGGCCTTCCACAGATTCACAATGTGCACGCCCTACGGAAAGGTGCTTGAGCGATACAATCTCGCGCGGACTACTGGATCGCCCGACTCTTCGTCCCTTCGACGAACCCTTGGCGCGGGTGAGAGGGATAGCCTGAAAGAAGAGCTCTTTCTGAAGTATCATCGAGGAATTGCTGGTTGGTTACTCCCCTCATCTGTACGACCTCACTGACCCCAATCATAGAAAACCGCACCTCACCGAAATCGCCATCCGCCATTGATGTGTCGGGTAACACTCATGATGAGACATCACTCCCCGCCTCCCAAGCCCCGAAGCTCTATCGCTCACGAATCACTGGCCGCATAATCCCACGAATGCCTGACCCACATCCTCGTGTAACCTACAAACAGATCTCGGAAAGAGAGCTTCGCATGAATTTCCTTCATCGGATCAACGAAATGGGTTTGGATTTGCACGGAAGATCCACCATGATCCGGAACCTTGAATGGGAGCTCTACGCGACAGTAGTAGAAGCGAACGATAAAGAGTCGGTGATTGATCGGCTTACCCAGGACAACGAACGGCTCCAGGAAGAGTGCGATAAGAACGTCGACATGACACGCGAGATACAACGGCTCAACGAAGTGAATGAGATGCTCTCCGCAAGGCTCATGGAAGGATATAACAAGGCGATGGCTGACAAGGGACTGCTCATGGCAAGATGTAATGATCTAGGAACATTGGGTCTGGAAGGCAATGAGGCGAGCGGGCGTTATGGAACGCAAGCCCAGGAGCCAAGTTCATCTGCGTCCTCCGCGACCCCACATACTACTAGAGTGGCAAAGAAGAGAAAGACCTTCAGCCCTGGATCGCGAGTACCGAGAATGCAAGTGAGCTCCAAGGTCAGGGCCAACTACACGGACTCGGATGAGTAGTTTGGGCTACGCAGCCGAAGGGGCACGAGAAAAGATATTTGGAAGGTCGAGACATGTGGCGATGTGAGAATTAGGGCTGCATGGTAGTGTACATAGATAATGCATGGTTTCTCCTTATTCTTCTGACAAGCTTCACCTGAATGATTAGTCGCATAGTACAGAGCCCGGGATCCCACGATGAAGTCGATGATACTTTGGCACATAGCTACCTAGGTATGTTTAAACATGAACAGCGTCTTCCCATTGCAGTGCTCAAGGGTCTTTCCATACATGCCTGCCGAAGCTGACTCTGAGCTTATCGATAAGATATCCGTTTCCGCTTCCTTATCGCTGCACGGACATGCTGCATGCCTCGGCACAGACAACGCGGAAACTTTCCTCGGCTCTGTCGGAATGTCCAACCATGAGCAAAGTACACCGCAAAGCCATCTCACCCCAAGAGACTATCAACATCACGCAAGTCTCATCGCTCATAACGCGCATCGTTCAATTCGATGGAAAAGCCAATGGTATTACTACATAACGAAGGAAGACAAAAAGCAACAAGAGAGATCCGTATGTACCGGGCGGCATAGAGGGCCCAGGTCCCTGGAGGTCTCTGAGTGTCATCTGGCATCTCACATCCAGGAACAACCACCAGCTATGCGCCTTCCTATTGAACGACTGTCTAACCAAGATGCTCTTCGCGCTCGACATCCATGATAACGTCCATCATGGATTGAGCGTGTTGAGGCTGCACCGCCCTTAGGATGTTCATCACTTGATCTGCGATACGCACGCGAGGCAACTGCTGAGGCTCAGGCTCGATAGTGACTACCGGTCCTTGTGGCTCCATCTGCAAAGGTCGCGCAGGTCTTCGACGAGGCCTGTCGTGCCCGCGCATACGACGTGGTATAGGGCCTTGCATATTCCCGTTCCTCCGATACAGGGTCCATCCCCCAGTCATGGTTCCTGGGCTCCATTTCGGGGATCTATTGACATGAGCGAGCCACTGTTCTTCCCACCACCGGCCATCCCAGCGCATCAGGGATTCCGGGTCCGCGACCGGTCGCAGCTTGAAGGTGCACTTGATTGGCGAAGAGCCTGCAACCATGTCTTGAAGGGCGGACTGCAGCATCTCGTAGTGAGGCCAGAGGTAGGGTGTGTGCTCTGATTGATCTCGCGATATGTCGTTCGATAGATCGCGGTGCAGGGCCGCCCGGCGAGCGCACCGCCAAGCGACGTCTTGCTGCATGTAGTCGAATAGCTTACTCTGTCCTAGCGCATCAAGATCTCCATCCACGAACTCGAAGGTATACTGCGACGGCGACATGCAGCTGTTCTGGAGGGCTAAGACTTCCCGTATCCACGGCCAGATCGCGGAAGTCATCAGACTAGGCTCGTCGCGCCTGTCGATGTTTCGCATGCCAGACGCGTTACCATCCGCATCCAGAGTCGGCCCCCTGTAGTCGCGTTGAGTCACATAGCCGATGGTGGGAAAGATGACCTGGTCTATGGACACCTTCCGATGGATGCGAAGCTTCGGGTTGACGCGCAAAAACCGTATGAAGCCCTGAGCGTGTCTCTGGGAACGATGCAGAGGCCCTAGTTTCATTCACCTGGATGTTGCGAATCTGCTTGAGGGTCTTCCGGGGCAAGGTTTCGATAGCGCGTATCGCGAGCGTGGCGGCTGAGAAGTGCTTCACTCTCGCACTATCTCTAGAGTTCTCCAAGGCGACCACGTCGTTTACATCCAAATGTCGAAATATGTCGTCGTGATAACTATGGTTTGGAACGTCCCAGAGGGGTAAGGTCTTGAGCCTGGACATGTAGCCGAACGATCTCTTCGTACGCAGTATGTCCCAGGTTCGAGAGAGCTTGACCTCTCGCGCAAAACTTGGTTCATGCTGAAGGACATCCAGAGCTTTGACCACAAAGTCCCGTCGTGTGGACATCGCGTCATCCTTGCGGCCGCGGAACATGTCTAAGAGATCTTCGTTGGCGATGGCCTGCGCCATGGCACCACGGTATTGAGGGAAGTCGCGTGTAATCTCCTTAAACAAGTCGGGGGTGATGATATGGCGAGAAGCCATGAGAACGCGTTCTTCCAAACGCACCCTGAGATCCATGCTGACGCCATATTTGTGAGGGTCTTCCCAAAACCTCACATCGGCTTCCGCCGGATAAGCGTGGATGGTGTTGTACTTGAGGGCGAGACCTTCGGTCTGCTCCCGTATCCGCTTCGAAACATAACACAGTGACAGGTCGATCTTGCGCTGGTCAGACGCAGCCACGCACATCCCGGATTTTGGATTGATGCGATATCCTCCCGGAAGCGTGAAGTATTCTTCGTAGATTCTGTCGATCAACTCTTGTGGTAGGTCCATGAGCTTTTTGGGTGGTCGAACTTTGAGACCATCTGTCGACCAATCTAGTCTAGTTTGGCGCATGGCCATAGGGGCAGCGCCAGTCCGAAGTCCTTCTCCACGTCGACGCTCCATGTAATAGTGATGGATGCGGGGACTGGGGTGAGTTCTTGCCCGCTGCATGATGTAGGTGTTGGAACGAAGAGATTGTGGAGGCACTCTCGTTCTCTGGCTTGTAAAAGCTGTACAGCGGTTCAATCATTATCGATATATCATTTGTGCAATTATGCAGTCGCAGGCGTATCGGCATGGTGTCTCCAAGCATCCGCGCTCTTTTGTTTTCTCGAGTTACACCCTACCCTGCAAGAGGCGCCACGGCCTAGGCTTTCGTGTCTACCCCTGCGACCCCAGCAAAACAAAAGGATCCCTCCCGGAGAGAACGCCTTAGATAAACCGCTAGTCTGGCGCGTCGGAGCAGGTAGCCGCTCAGCCACTTGCTTTTCTACAATTTTTAGATGATGGCGCAGGAGACAGCCCGCGTCGTGGAAACTTGCAAGCGATGGATTAGATGAGTGCTGGTAGTACGTAATTGCGCGATGCAAATCACATTAGAATCATGGGGGTCGTCACACGGCAGATACTCATTCGCATACTAGCAGTGACAGGATGTTTCCAAACAGCCATAAACCGGCTTGATGATGCGCGTGTGGGTGTAGATACAGCAGAATACCAAGGGGACGAGAGCTTTTGACAAGAAATAAAAGAGATAGATAAATTGATACAGATAACTGATCACGCGCTTCAGTCCAGTCAGATGGATGAGCTGGAAAGGGCCGCGTATTGTGTCATGAGAAACTTGTCTACCGAGGCAGCAGGTGGCAGGCGCGTTGCGAAAGCCTCATTTAGGCTTAATAGGTAAAAAGGCATGACGAGCATTAGAATGGAGACAATGGCACACCATTTCAACAGCTCAAGGGCACACCCGCATGTCTCCCTCCAGCAAGTAACTGCCGCCGGCATCATTGTCCAACACCCTGCTCTGATGTCTTCTGCTTAGCACGTTGCCGCCTTCTCCGTTGACTAGCTGCTTTCCCTGTCCCGACGGGTACATCGTCATCCAAGAGGGCTCTGCACGGGGCTCCACCCTGCATGCACAATCCTTTCAGCGCTTTGTTGCCACGTCTGTAGAACTCTGGATCCCACGCACGAAGAGCCTGTATCGCGTCTGCAACCACGTCGCGGTGATGAGTATGTTTACCCGCACCTCTCTGTGGAATTTCCATATGATACTGCTCTTCCCCATTGTGTTTGTACGAGCAACGGGTGCCCCGATCGCAAATGATCTCTTGTGCGCAGATCGCATCTATAGGAGGCAGTACGATGTTGGGTGAGTCTGGCTTCGGGACGGGACGAACGTATTTGCCTTCTCCATGATACACAGCGAGGAGGGCATCTGCGTCGCCATCCTGATCTTGGCAGGTTCGTTCAAGGATGGCGCCAGTTGGTTCCAGCCTAGCGATCATATTGGGATTCGTGTCTTTGGCGAAGACCATCGCGCGAAGCACTCGAGTGATGTAATAGGCATCTCCAGGATTCAGACCGCGGTCCGCCATGAATTTCTCGAGCCATTCCAAATCGACTTCCATGAACTTCTCAAACTTAAGGCGCTCATCGGGATGGGAAGGGTGTCGGTAAGCCTTGTTCAGTAGTTCGATATGTTTCGCGAACAGCTCGAAGGAAAGATCGTCCGGCTCAGCACGATGTCTCCACCGGCTCCCATTCGGCGTCGAGGTGAATGCACCCATGTTGCTTGAAACAACGCGATAGAACGTTTCGATGACGCTGATGATGATCTTGAAAACGATTAGCATGTGAACCTAGCCGTTATTCTTCAATTGGAAATTGCGTACAAAGGATACCAATGAGATTCGCAATGGCGGCGCTGTATAGATGCATACAGATAGGTCGAGGTGATGATCGAGTGGCTTCTGATGGCGCGCATCTGTTATCTATGGTTCGTCCGACGGTCGAGGCTTGCTAGCGCTCACCCGTTTCGACTAGAACTTGGCAACATGGGCAGGTACGGATCAGGCCCACTAGGCGCCAGAAAAGCAACGAGCCCCGGTAAAGGGTCAACCGCCATCTGCGGGGTCGTTTTGATGATCTAATTGATGAGTGCTTAGGTAAAGTAAGGCATCCGGATCCGATATCTTCAAACAAATGTGGCAATAGAAGATCTTTCAAGAACAGCGACAGCAACATACTAGCATTACAGGATGATTTAACAAGAACCAAAAGAATGACAAAGAAGGCTTAGCCTTGTGCTTCAGTCCAAGATGATCGGATCACCGAAAGACTCTCCCGCTGTTTGTGCCCTCCATGTTTCCGCCCAATCGTTGGAACACATGAACCGCCGTTGGTAAGACTGCCACCACTCTGGGTCAGACCAATCCTTCTCCAGGATAGACTCGCGCAGCTTAGTGTCTATCCCGTAACTGAAGTTGCAAGAAAACAACGACGGGGGCTTGTTCATCCGGAGTAGCTTGCCATCGAGCAGTCCATGTGGATCCCACAGAAACCGGTCATCATGCACCGGATCGCCTAGCAGACGGGCCTTCCGCAGGGATTCGCCACACGCGTATTGCCATGCCGCATCTTCTTGCATCATGTCGAATATCTCTTTCGCGAAGTCAGGCATGGCGTCGCAGTCGAACTGCAGACGAAAGACCCCCCTGTCACGGCCAACACTGGCCATGACTTGCTCGGCTTCAACCATCCAGCGATAGATTGTTTGAGACACTTGGAACGAATTAGTACAGCTTTTCGCAACGTATCTCATAATGATGGCTTACAAATCTCATCCACTCGCCCTACCCCGTTACTTCTTTCCTTGCATACCGAAGCCCAAATGTTGCGCCACAAGCTAACGTTGCGGTGAACTTTGAGATTCGAGTTGATCGTCAAAAAGTCCACAAACGGCTCTGCATGACATTCTGGAAATGCTGCCGATGGTCGATCTTCATGCAAATGTACATCTCGAATTTGCATGAACACAGGGTGCTGGATGTACCGCGCTAGAAAAATGATCATGACTGCGGCAGCTGAGTAGCTATTACTTGTATATCCGGCAGGTAGCAGCGTACTACCCAGTAGAGGTAATTCGATCGGGTTGATTATGGTACCAGGTTCGTTCGTCATGCGCCAAAAGTCCAGGCTTGATGGGCCGTCCAGCTTTGCCTTGATTCTCAGCTTGAACAAGTGCCTTGGGATCTTTGCTGCAAAGCCAGGTTGCTGTTGTAGGAGGTCTAAAGCGTAGCGAAGGAATTTCCGTTCCGTAGATGGGCCTTCGGTGGCACTCATCATCGATCCTGAGGAATAACGCCACATGTCGCAATATTTGGAGTATCCGAGAACCCTGTCGTATTCCGGAAAGTTTCCAAGAATGTCGTCGAGTACGTTGTCGGAAATGAGCGAGCGAGTAGCGAATAAAGTAGCACAGTCCAACAAGTGATTGAGCCGAACAGCTTGACTCCAACGCTCCGCAGACGTTCTGAACTCCGACTCTGGTGAGGTAGTGGTAGCATGAACAGCGTTCATCTCGAAGGCCAGGCCGTGGGTCTGTGCTCGAAGATCGAGACAAACTGATCCTAGTGATAGATCTATGGGGTTACCATCAGCTGTCCTTAACTTGTTGGTGGATGGATTGACAACATAACCGCCAGGAACCTCATAGTAATAGCGATAAATCTCGTCCTTCAACTCCGTTGGTAGTTTTCCGAAAGGAGTCTTGTTAAAAGGAACACTTGGTTTTGCGCGTTTCGTTCTGAGGTATTGTGATTTCCAGCCCTGGTAGGTCGAAAGCTTTCGCTGCGTCATAGCGGACTTCAGGGTAGTTGTTGTGCAGCTCGAGTCGGAATCGATGAAAGTCGTCGTTATAACCTGCACCCACCAAAGGCGAGAGACTTACCGGTTTTTGACTCGCGCTTGAACATCCTACATTATCTCATCCAGCCACCTATGGAGACATAATATCACATGCCATGCACATGCGACGGGGTGGAGGCTGGCATCTGCAGGTGCTAGTAAGGTGGTACTTGCGTGTTCGTACCTAGAAGTAGCTAGATAACAAGAGCCGTGGCAAGCCCAAGTTTCGTATGATACTGGCTTTGGATTCACCAGAATGGCTAGAAGCTTGCTGGTGGCCGATATCATGGCAGAGTATAGAAGCGGGATGAGTCGAAACTGGATGTGGAGATTACCCAAGCAAAAGCAAGCTCTAGCGCCAGAAGTACGAGCGAAAAAAGCAGCATCCACCAAGGGCTGAGAGGGGTAGGGAACTAGGGTGAAGAGAAAGCCTCAAAGGCTATGGCGCGTATATCGAATGCGGAGTCGATGCGCGCTGACCTCTCGTCAACAATCACAACCCGCTGGTCGCCCAGGGCAATAGGGGAGTCCAGGCCACCAACGTTGAGCGCATTGCGCAAGCCTTCTGCGCCGCTGCGACAGGCAATCAAAGAGGTCTGAAGGCTTACGATGCTGTTGAACCAGGTGGGCGGAGCGGGTGTTGAAGCTTGCGTTGGGAAATACGTGACGTTAATTCCGAACGGCAAGCCCTGTGTTTCCGCCGTCTCTGAGTGGTATTCCGAAGGCACGCCTTTCGTAAATGGCCATCTTTCCTAACGCCAGATTGCACGATTACCCATGCTCGTAGCGATGATGATGACGATGAAATCGGTCGCGCAGCTCTCGTAGGGGGTTGGATACGCTTGCTTGTGCCATTGTGTCAGTCCGAGATGGTGCCGACGGTATCTTAGGAGGGTAGGAGGACGAGTGCAACGGGGAATGCAGTGGCGCGGGCGGCTGATGAAGTGACTTCAACGTATGGATTCGTACGGATTAACCCCAACCAAGACAAAGCAGATGCCTGAATACACCGCGCATGCTGCTCGTCGTAAGGAGTGTCAAAGGTGAAATATGTTGGGACCTCGGCAGGCATCAGCCCCGCCCACCCCAAGTGACCTCATGACCAACAGCTTCCGAAGCCATACTTGGTGGCAGGCAATAGGTGGTCTTTGAAAGCTGCCTCTGTGATTCTTGTCGGTGCAGCCCAAAGAAGGGGAGAAATGGAGCCGCCATCAAGAGGATCACGAAAATCGCGCGTTCATTGGGCGCCAAGACGCTAGCTGCCGAGGTAGCTAGCTTAGGTGGACCCCTATATTCGCGCGTCACGATTACACCGGGTAGCCGCCACTTTAGAAAAGAGGTAAGAAGGCTACGTTGCTACAATACTATACAAAGATCTATCCTGAATCGAATGTAGGCTGCAGGGCACCTATTTGTTCTTCCCTCAAACGACAAAATCGCCTTCTGGTGCCTACGGGCGAGAGCTTCTTATATATCATCAGCAATATTACTCAAAGCCGCCCTCTACCTGTTGGGTAACCATCCTATTCGTCACCACAGCTTGCAACTGCCATCTCTAAAGCCGACTGGATGCGGAATGAGATGCTCGCGCCTTTTTGCGCAAGGCTGTTACCCGCGAGGCTCGAACCTATACTCCAACGACTTCTTCCGCATGTTTAGCGAACCCCTCGGTCGCTGATAAGTTCTCACAAATCTCACGAAGGCAAACCCCCATCTTCATGGCACTGCAACATCAAAGGTACGAGGTTCGTGCTTACTCCATTGCTCCTCCCATTCCTTCATCGACCATCCCTGAGCAGCCTGCCTTATGGAAGACGAGTAATCGACACTAGCGAGGCTGAAGTCACAGCTCACTATAGAAGTACCGTCAGCAATCGCAGCGAGAGCTTCCGAAAAGCCTCTCATCTGGTAGCTGGCGTTGCGCCTCGTTTCGAACCAGCTCATCTTGTTGTGATGATCTGCGCGATGCTCTTCGAATACTGTCTGCCATGCGGCATCTCGCTGCACGATCTTGAACACTTCGGCGCTCCTCTCAGGTATTGGCTGCCCGTTGAACACCAACTTGAAGCATTGAGGTGGCATGCCTAGATCGTCAAGGGCAAGCGCCTCCATGATCCATGGTGCTAAGCACGATCTGGTGATATACTCAGCACGCAGCGGACGCAAACGACCTTGGCCACAATAAAAGCCGTTCATTCTGGAAGCACCGGCAGGAAGCGCGTTTCTCCACAAATCCACCCGTCGTTCTATTCGAAGTGCTCCATTCTCTTGACAGTAGGGAAGCAAGCCTTGGACATGGCACTCGGGCCAAGCAGCAGCTACGTGGTTCTCATCCAAGAGCACGCGACGAAAGCGGCATCGTATAGATGCAGGCATTGACGAGAAGAAGCGGGTTGCGGCCGATGCCGCGGAGAAACTGTATTTAGTTCGTTGCAGGCTTTGGAGAAGGTGTAAGTTATGCTGCAGACTGCGCCTGATATCAGCTATGTCGTTGCTGTCCGGTATAAGCCAAGGTGAATGTTGCAGTGAGACAACCTCAATGGTTTTGTGGTTCGAGCCTTCCATGTTCCAATCAGCATCTTCAAGAAGGGCCTCTAAAGCCCGTATGACGAATCGGCGATAGAGCGACGGAGCTTCACCCCAGGAGTCATCGGCAAGACCATCGACACTGATCACTCCCATGCCGCGAAGTTGTCTGATGACGGGTAGGAATTGTGGAAAGACTGCCTCCAATTTGTTGCAGCTGTCTTGGTCGATGCATCCACGGAACGCTCGTAGTAGGCGTGACCTGCTGCCTTCATCCCTAAGCTGCATGTAGTGATACTGTCCTGCATGATCTGATGTAGCTTCGTTGTAAAACGTAGAGAACTTGACGGTGTTG